TACCTCATAACTTTCTGTTTTCTCTTCTTTTGCAACGATTTTTTGATTTTTGTGAGTCGACAGGGAGAGACCTCACGACGAAGGCAGTTCATACCCCTTTACGACAATTTGAGAGCCCTGCTATACAACTCGTCAAGCCACACTCCAAGAGTTGAAATGTGAGGTCCTTCAGCGACCGCCGTATTCTCCGCACTTTGCACAGCGAGGCTGCTTCGGCAGCACATTGCACGATCGGATTTCGATTAATGTCGGCGTAACAGAGCTATTAAAAGCAGTTCGCAGCTAGGTATAGAAGTTGAAAATATGGCATTGAGAGGGTAGAGTGGTCCGCGACGAACAACCCGTCTTTCAGTGAACGAAGCTTCAGGACGAAAGCACGAAAATTGTCGCTAGCATGGTCGTGCAGTTCTTACGGGGAGTCAGCTGGGTGGATGGGGGCTTAGTGTTGGAGATGGAGGTTATTGGGCACGTGCAAATTATAATCGCAATGGGGTTCTATCTAAATCAGTGGGCATTTTTTTTCTATTTCCTTCACGAACGAATTACTCAGCACCCTGTCGTATCTGAGCAAATCCCTAATCCCCTATCTGTGATTGCGAATGATCGCGAACTTCGCCTTTAACTGCCTTTAACATTACCAGTCGCCTCGCCGGCTGACGCCCGCGCGGCTCCTTCTGATACGGCCCGGCTGCGCCGGGCGGGCGCGACTTCGCCGCGCGTACCTTTCCTCGTAGAAAAAATGTGGAAAAGAAGAAATGCGGGGTCTGCGAAAATAATGAAAATACGAAAATGCGGTACGTATCGATTGGTAGACGCAGATATGCGGAGTTCGCAGTAATGCGGAATCTACAGAAATGACGAAAAGAAAGCAGCGCTCCGGTCGCACCTTCGACGCGATCAATGCAGTAAAAGCATACTCATCAAACGCGCGACCGAAGCGTTACCGTCGGGAAGCCTGAGCGCTGCCATACACAACGAAAGGCAAAGGTCATTAGATAATGCCTGGAAAACAGCATCAATAAGCTGGAAATCTACAGTAATGCGGAGTCTGCAGAAACGACGAAAAGGATTTAGATGAGCGATGGTCAGACTCGGCAGAGCAATCGCTCGTCGCGTGGTCGGCCAAGACAAAGGATTAGAATCAGTATGAGCGCATGGATCGGCATCAAATGCGGCGGTCGGAGGCTTGCCATTCTCATGTCGATTTTTCGCAGCCCAAACGGTGGAAAAGAATTGCGAATGGCAGGAATGGGCAGAGGTGAATTAGTAGGGAGAAACGGCAGATATGCGGGGAGTTTGCAGTAAATGCGGAGTCGTAGTAAATGACGAAGAGGATGAGATGGGCAGGTTCGCACTCGTGCCGTCGGAAGTCTGAAGGCTGTCTTACTGTAATGAGTTAGCGTCAGCTCATCATTTCCGCATGTTCTTTGGGAATCGATGTGCCATTGGATGGCTTTTCATCATTTCAATGATCCCGCATTTACGCATTTTAATGCTTAAGGCATTTCTTGCACGGCGGCAAGGCCAACGAACTAAATATAGGCTATAGCGCAATTTCGGAATCCCGGGCGCCAAAATGTTTTTCAGAAATCGATTTCTATCAGGTCGACTCAGAGTTGGCGAGTGATTGAATGCAAATGACTCGGATTGAAATGAAGCGTGCCCATCTCGCTTCCTTAGGTCTCTTTCTATTTACCTCTTTTGCCTTTCTGGCGAGCTACTTTTCTCGGCGTTTGCAGGAGTTCTGAGAGCACTTTTAAGGAATTTTTTCAATATAACAACCACGCTTTGCCGCAGCTCCGCCTCCCAGCAGCTGTGCCTCATATTTGTGAATGATGACCTCTCTGATCTCAGACGTACTGTTCTTTCCGGTGTCCGGGTGGCTCTGGAACGTTTTGCGAATTTTTAAAATATTGGCTTCACCCGACTTCGGGGCACGCGCCGCCAAGCGTATGGTGGCGCGCTTCTCGACTAATAACCCCTCCTGATCTCAAGCTGGGGGCCTTTTTCCGTTGGTCTGGAGTGCTCTGGGACCGTTTTGTGAATTTTTTAAAATTTGCTCCCACTTCTGGGCAGAGCCCCGCCAATATGGCGCGATTCTATATCTAATATTCTCCAATGAACCTTTTTGGAACGCACTTTTTTCCACGTGTGTGGGAGTGCTCTGGAACGTTTTTGTGAATTTTTTTAAATTCGCTCGCTCCACCATCTTCTAAGGCCGCCCCGCCCACAATGGTAAAGAGCGCGATTCTCGAATATAATCCTCCAAGACTTTGGACCCTTTTCCCGGTGTCGAAGTGTCTGGAGTTTTTGTGGTCTCTCTCTTTTAAATTGGCCTTCCACCACTTCTTGGGCACGCCCCACCCACAATGTATGAACGCGCCCGCGTTCTCGACTAATAATCTCGCAATGACTTGAACCACTTTTCCGCCTGGTGTCTGAAGTGCTCTGGGACGTTTTAGTGATTTTTAAATCTTGGCTCCACCCACTCTGGCACGCCCCGCCCACATACTGACGCGCGAATTCTTAAGCTCATATCCCCAATGCTGAAAGCACTTTTCCCCGGGTGTGTGGAGTGCGCTGATAACCGTTTTGTGAATTGTCTTCGCGACTTTGGGCCCCGCCACTTCGGGTGCAGGCTCCGCACGATGGGTACGACTTTTTTATACTGGTTCCCGTGCTCAAATGCACGCCGCCCACTGCTAGGCGGCTTGATGCACGCCGTAAACATGGTGGAATCATCTTCGCAGACTTAGTCTCGTCATGGACTTTTTTCTGCGGTCCTTAAAATTTTTTGGGACCGGATTTGTTGACTTTGGCTGACCTTTGTGGGAAGCACCGCCCACCTCACGCACGCCCCGCCCACTGTGGGCGGGCCTCAGCACGCCGCAAACAAAACCGAGTTATTGACCTTTGTGGGAAGCACCGCCCATCTCAAGTACGCCCCGCCCATTTCGGGTCTCTCTCCTCCATTTGATGGGCCAACCCAGTGCTAACCTAATACCACTTTTTCCATTCTCCGAGCTGCTTCGTAGCCAAGTTATGGTAATTTTTCAGTGCCATGGAAAGCCCCGCCCATCTCAAGTACGCCCCGCCCATTTCGGGAGTCTCTCCTCCATTTGGTCAGTCAGGCCTTTGTTAACCTTACTGCACTGTCTCCTCATCTCGGGGCTGCTCTGTAATCGAGTTATGACTTTTTAAGAGAAATCGCTAACTTTGGACGCACGCCCCGCCCACAGTGGCGGGGCTTAGCATGGGTCATGGGTGCTATTCAGGTTTTGTCCCATGCTCTATCCATCCCCACCATGATCCATCCCCGCCGAGCCGTGCTTCAGGTGCTATGAATTTGGTGACAAACAGACGGACACACACACACGGACATAGCCGATTATATTATAACATTATAAACCTCCTGGATTCATCCAGACGCTTTTTGCGTCAACGACGGCAAATATGGGCCCCTATTATCGAAGCAATCCACGAATAACGTTTCACATTTTCCATCTTTTCACGTTTCACACTCTTTTGTTTCACACACCAGTAAGAATATCCTTGGTAGGCTATCGCAGAACCCAGTCGTGAAACCTCTCATCCTTCACGAAAAGAAACTCTGCTGGGCAATCTGAGTTTCAAGGAGATGCTTTTTACACGTTTTTGAGTCTCCGAGATTTTGCGTCAGAGGGTTCGAGGGGACATGCAACTAAGGGGTCACCCGTTGTAATTAGCAAACTGTCCTCAAGGAACAACCTGAAATTGTTGAGGCCCGTCTACTGTTGAGGATGAAAACAAGCCTAGGGCAACGGCGATTCGCAATTCCAAAGGATGAACAGAAAGCCTCCGCCCCAGGTTTGATCACGTTTGATAGGTCTAAGCAAATGACATGGAACATTAGACAAGCTAGGACAGGCATAGAGATAGGAAGCAGAGCAGACAGCAGCAGCAGAGAGTATCCTATTCGTTTTGACGTGAGCGCTGCTCTACGTACCTGCTTGCGAAGACCAAATCGCTGGGACGTAGATAAATCAGTTCAGATCCCTCAAACCTGGGTAAAAAGACTATCCACTATAGTAATATATGCGTATGGTATAGTCGTGCCACGCGCTATAATTGTGTGCCGCTTTTAGAACAGAGGGAACCGAACAACAACTTGTATAAGGGAAACAGCGTTCTTTAACAGCAACAAGTTAAATTATATTATAACAAAGTAGGTTCTCGGAGCAGAACTTATGCGAGAGAGCTTATGCGAAGTGAGAATACCCAAACGTGCTGTGAAGGCCGGGGCGAGAGAGCGAGAAAGACTGAAGACTTGAGAGATTCGGTCTCCTTATACACCCCCTGGGGTCAAAGTCCAAAAATCGGGTTCAAAATCCAAAGACCACCCACTATACCCATAACGTCGATTTTCCCCTTACCGGTCGATAAACTGCGTGTGCTTGCGTGGTGGTTTCGCTTTGCCATTCGATCGGTAGATCGACCTCCACATGTGTTGCGACTTGCAACCCAGAGTTGCAATGCTCCCGGCCCGGCCTGCAAAATAGATGCTCAAATCTCATATTAACAATAACAACAACAACAACAAAACAGATCAACAATATGTAATAGCCATGGATCACTGTTCCTTCAGTTCCTGTAGTTGATGTTTCAGGCTCTCCCACCTCCTCTTTGCTTCCCTCCTTTTTCTCGTGGCTTCCTCGTACCGACGACGTATCAACGCTCCTCTTCAGTAAATCGCATAAAGCGGATGGATGTCCATGTTTTTCACAATGGAATCATGCTGTTATCGCAGATCCTGCAACGATTCTGCGCTGACAATATGTATTCTCTCCCAGTAATCCGAATATATGGCACATGGGTCGGAGTGGTGGTCTCCCACTCTCCCACAGAATACGCAAGGAACCGTCAGATCTTCTTTCCTGCGTATAACTCCCTTCTTGAAATCACGAGGATCGCATGTCTTCTCCACGTCCAAGTTGTACAGCGTTGTCTCCAAATCTTCGATGTCATCCTTCCTTGATTTCTTTCAAAATCCTCTCATCAGCTTCGAATGAGTCATGGTCTTCTTCTTTCATTTCTTGTACTCCTTCCGTGTAATCGACGTTCTCCTGATTCTTTTTCTCGTCGTTCTCATGTGTGTCCAGTTCGTTTTCGGAGGAAGGGCTCCTGCTCTCTACCTTGAATGTCTGGTACAAGCTGTGGTAGCTTGTACGCTTCCCCTCGCCGCTGCCGCTCGGTTTCTGTTTTTCCTAGTCGGAGTGCGTACCATCGTTACCTGGGTGCGTTCCATCGCTTGGTGCGTGTGCCAACTTCGCCATGTCCATCATTGTGTTTGCCGTTTCTTGGATTGCATTCCTTACTGTTTCCGTGGATTTTCTCGCAGCCTTTTCCAGCCCGTTTTCGATAGTCTTTTGGATCTGATCCAGAAGCGTGAGGACTGTGGATTGGAACTGTTGTTACTCTTTGAATTTTTCCCCTTGCAGCGAACTTCGGTACTCGTTCTGAAATGATTGTCCCTCGTCCAGAATTTTTAGCTGGTCTTCAATCACTGCTTCAATCGCCGATTGCGTCATGAGTATTGCAGTTCCCACTTCATCGTACTGCGGTTGTGACATCATTGCGTTCCAATTGCTCTTTGAAATCGCTTACATGGCTATCAGCGGAGGGGGTACGCTTAACAAAGTCCTCAACTCGGTGCGGATCAGCATAAACTCGATCACTATTTTGTCGGTTCCTCTTCAAGAAAATGGCGTAACCATGTTGAGAGCTATTCAGTTCAGAAATATTGCCAAGTCAATATTCAGCAGTTCTAAAAACTTCCCACTGACTCTTAGTGCTTTTGAATGTTGTATTTGCTGCTGCGTTATATATGGTTCCCTTTTCTGATAGTGTTATTTCTTCTCCTCGTACGCCTGTTAACAATACTGTTGCTATTAATGAGAACATCATAATGTGAAAAAGGAACCATTGCCGGGGGGTCGTTCTCCCTACTATTAAGTTAGTGGTAATCGGTTCTGCGTAATTCACTAGTTTGAGTGGCCGAAGATTATAGGGGTGTTTCGATTCTTCCTTGCGCAGCCGCTTTTGTTGGTGATTTTGATAGTATTTTATGGTCTTTTGGATTTTCTCCATTGTCTGCGATTTCCAGTGGCACAATGAGATTCACAGGACGCTTTATCCGTCGTTTCGCGGCTGTTACTAATGCAACTTCTCGAATTTGTCCATCCCTGCTATAGCGTAGACTGGCTATGCGGGCCATTTTCCAAGCATTGCGAGAGAAAATTGGATCGCTCAGATTTCTACTGTCCCAACTCTAGGTTCTAGTTGATGATGTCTTGTTTTGATATAAATCTTCTATGCGTTTCCCGTAGGCTGGTGAGGTAATGTTTCTGCCACACCTCCCAAAGGCGTTCAGTGAATTCACAAGAGGATTTTAGTGCCTCTTCGGCCTGGTTTCTTGTTCTGAGCGCTACCCCTTCTGTAGGTATTGTACAGCTTCTGTCGCTTGTTGAGTTTTCTTCAAGAACCTGATAGGGGAATGTGATATTCAAATCCCGTTGGATAAAATCGATTGGACGAATGGAGCTGAAATCATCCTGCTAAGAGCTCTGATATGTGAGCGGTTGCGACTTGAGACATGCTTCTACCTCTGCCAGTATGGTTTCTAAGTCGTCTACTGACTTATGTGGCTTCACTTTGAGCGATTTGTACAGAGCGCGCTTGATGAACTTAATGTGGCGCTCGTAGAATCCACCCTGTCATGGTGCGTAAGGTTTGTTGCAGAACCACTCTATCTCATGTCGCGACGTAGCGCTTAGTACTTCTACGTTGAGTTGTGTTTGGTCGGCTCCTGCGTTCAAACTCTCCGCGCACAATAAGAATGTGAGAGCGTTGTCACTAGTTATCGAGCTAGGAACGCCTCTGCGTGCAATAAAGCGTCTAAGTGCGTTCAGAAAGTCTCCAATTCCCATACTTTTTACTAATTCCAGGTGAATCAGTCTTGTTACGGTGATGTAAAAATGCACCCGTACACTTTTGATCTCGTTTCATTTTCTTCTTCAATCATGGAAAAGTCGAAAAAGTCGATGCCAACGTGTTGAAAAGCATAACTTTTTTTGACACGTCTCTCCGGTAAATCTGTTCTTTCTTTGTAAGCGTATGAAAGCCCATTGAATCTGCGGCTCTGTCGGACTTGTTGCCTTAGTTTTGGTACCCAGTACTGTGCTCGAACTTTTGCCATTGTGTGTTCGATGCCTTGATAGTAATCCCCATGTGCTTCGTCGATAATGAGAGCAGCTAGGGGTGTTTTTGGATGAATGAAAATGGGGTTCTTTGCTTGTTGGTTCAATGCGGAGTTTCCAAGTCGTCCTCTTGAGCACCATATACCTTCACCAGTCGCCTCGCCGGCTGACGCCGGCGCGGCTCCTTCTGATACGGCCCGGCTGCGCCGGGCGGGCGCGACTTCGCCGCGCGTACCTTTCCTCGTAGAAAAAATGTGGAAAAGAAGAAATGCGGGGTCTGCGAAAATGATGAAAATACGAAAATGCGGTACGTATCGATTGGTAGACGCAGATATGCGGAGTTCGCAGTAATGCGGAATCTACAGAAATGACGAAAAGAAAGCAGCGCTCCGGTCGCACCTTCGACGCGATCAATGCAGTAAAAGCATACTCATCAAACGCGCGACCGAAGCGTTACCGTCGGGAAGCCTGAGCGCTGCCATACACAACGATTCTTCGCAATTTGCCATTTTCGCATGGCAGGAACGAAGAAAGGCGGAATCTGCCGAAAAAGTGAAAAGAAATGCGAAAATGAAATAGTGGAAAAGAAATGCGAAAATCTGAGTTGGCAGAAATGGCAAAGGTCATTTAGATTAATGCATCTGGGACAAAACGCATCATTTGAAATCTACAGGTAATGCGAGTCTGCCAGCAAACGACGAAAAGGACTTAGATGAGTCCGTGTCAACTTACGCGAGAGCAACGCTCCGTCGCGTGGTTCGGCACGATCAATGCATTAGAAATCAGTATGACGAATGGATCGCATCAAATGCGGCCGCTCGAGCGCTGCCATACTTATCGATGTTTTTCGCAGCCCAAACGGTGAAAAGAATGGGCGGATGCGCAGAGAAGGGCAGAAGGGTGATTAGAGAGGAGCGAAACGCAGATATGCGGATTTGCAGTATATGCGGATTGCTGTAGAAACTGACGAAGAGGATTGAGATCGGCAACGCGTTCGCACTCGGCTGCCGTCGCGAACTCGTGTAGGCTGTCTTACGTAGCTGAAGTTGCACGGCAGCTCATCATTTCCGCATTTTACTTTGAATCGATGTGCATTTGGATGCTTTTCATCATGTTCACAGATCCCGCATCTTACCCTTGCATATAACAACAGCCATTTCTTCAAACCGGTCGCAGCCCCGAACTAATATAGCTATGGCACCATTCGGAAATCCGAAAAATGTTTTTCCAGATAACTCGCCGACTGTTTCTATATCGTCGACTCAGAGTGGCGGATCGTAATTGAATGTCAAATGACATCTGGTAGTTGAAAATGGAAGCGTGCCATCTCCCTATCCTTAGTTCTTTAATTTCACCTCCGTTTTCCTTCTGCGCGAGCTACTTTTTCTCGGCGTTCGCAGAGTTCTGAGCAGCATTTCAGGATTTTTCCAATATAACCAACCCACCTTGCCGCACTCCTCCCAGCAGCGTGTGCCTCATATTTGTGAATCGATGACCCCTCTCTGATTCAGACTACTGTTCTCCGGTGTCCGGGGTGCTCATGGAACCGTTTTTGCGAATTTTAAAATTGGCTTCATCCGCCACTTCGGGCACGCACCGCCACAGAGTATGGCATCGCGCTTCTCGACTTAATAAGCCCTCGCTGATTCTCAAGCTAGCCTTTTCGCCCGGTGTCTGAGAGTTGACTCAGTGGGACACCGTCATTTGGTGAATTTTTTGAATTTGTGCACTCGTCACCCACTTCTAGCGCACGCCCTCCCCCAAAATGTTATGAGCGACGAATTATCAAGACTTGATATCCGTTCACAATGCCCTGGAACCACTTTTCCCGTTGTGTGTGGAGTGATCTGGAACCGTTTTTGTAGAATTCTTTCAGATTTTTGGCCTCGGGCCCAGTCCGAGTGCAGCGGCTCTCCGCCCACGGAATGGGTACGGAATTTTCATACTGATTACCCTCTGTGCTCAAAATCGCACGCTCCGCACCTGTAGCGCGGCCTAGAGCACGCCAGTAAGACATGCGTGGAGACTCTTAGCCAGGAGCGTTATTAGTTTCGTCATGGACTTTTCTTGCGCTCCCTAAACATTTTTGGGGACGAGTGGTTGCCTTTTGCGCGGAATAGCACGCCCATCTCAAGTACGGCCACATATTCGGGTCTCTCTCTCCTCCTTTAGATGGCTATTTCCCATGTAACACCTAAAATACACTTTTTCCAGAATCTCCGCAGCTGCTTTTCGTAGCCAAGTTATGGTAATTTTTCAGATCGCCATTGAATAGCCCGCCTATCTCAAGATACGCCCCGCCCATTTCGGGAAGTCTCTCACTCAATTTGGTCATTCAGGACCTTGTTAACCTTACCATGCACTGTTTCACTCATCTCGGGGCTGATCTGGTAATCGGGAGTGTGACTTCTTCTAAGAGGAAATCGGTAATTTTGACGACGCACGCCCGCCACAGATTGGGCGGCCTTAGCATGGGTCCTGGGTTGCTATTTTAAGGTTTTGTCCAATTACTCATATCCATCCCACCATGCATCCATCCAGCCGAGAACCTTGCTTACAGGTGCTTATGAATTTCGCTGACAGAACAGACTAGACACACACACACACACGGACATAGCAATTATAATTTAGTAGGATTCATTTTCTTGAAATGTCGTTAGCGTGTTTTTCGATCATGTATTTACAATATTGCCTCGTACTGGTACTGCCTGATGGTTTCGGACGATTATTCGTTTAGCTGCTGCGTGGCATTTCCGCTGGAGCAGCGTCCCATTGACTTGGCTTGAATCTCGAGTTCTCTGATGATGTCGGCTGATAGCATTTTGGGCTTTTCCGCGTTAGTGCCGTTGCATTCAATTCCCATCTGATGAACAGACCTCAGCAGACGCTGCTACTAACTGTTTTGCTTTCAGTGAAATGAGCCTGAATTGGTTCATGATCTAATATAGGGGTACTTGCAGCGGGGTGTCATTGTGCGCAGGTATTGCGAATGATAGTTCTTGAGCTAGAAACGTTCCTTGCATGGTGTTATTAGTTCATAATTTGTAGTAAGTCCGCCCCCATTCTTTAGAATGGAAGACGTAGGATAATTTTAGAGTCCCTTTCAACACATGTGCTCTGATGTGTGCTTTGTTCAAACCCGAGTCCCTGCGTGGGCTGGCAATTATCAGATGACATTTAATACATAAAAATTGAACTGAAACTGACTGCCGCGATAGAGTTTCCATATATATTGCGTATTTTTCACTTAGAGTACGGTTACGTTAACAACACCCCGGACATTTGTGCAGTTCAGTCCGCAACACTCGTAGCGTTAGCACATGTCAGCACAGTTGGAATCTAGAGAAGATGAATGTCAAAGTGGTCTATTGAGTAAGCTGTTTTCGAATAGTGCGTTTGGATATGGAACGCAGCACAAGCGCACAGCAACTGGTGATGACGTTACCAGTATCACTTTTGGAATTATGTTGCTGTGTTTGGAGAACTGATAGAAAGCGGCAGGTAAGTTGCATTTTGCCATAACTAATGTTGGGGTCTTTCTCTGAACATAAGCAGGCATGTGACCATAGCCATTGGCACTTCGCGTCCTGCCGAAGCATTTGCCACGGCGCAATGATATGTTGTTCATTTTCATATATTTGTCTCGAATGAATTTCGCGAAACCATGAACGTCGGAAAGTTTGAGCGTTTCCTATTCTTTTTGTCCTACTTGTAGTTGGAAATACCAGTTCCCCATGGTATTCTTGTGCCTGCAAAAGATCCTCGTTGGAATCGTATTGCGCTTAATGTTATGAGGCTACATCTACCCAACGGCGAATTCATTATATGGAGGCTATATTGTCCGCGCCACGCCTGTTTTCGTATAGACTGGTTGTCTATAGAGAATATCACAAGAACGGATAAACAAAGTGTCATCGTTTACATCTGTTCCATTTACACGACAGAATACTCTCTGAGTCCCTTATATGGCGCTGCTGGTCATGGCAACGCTGTAGTGCTATTCCAATCTGATGACCGA